ATATATATATATATATATATATATATACACATATATATACATATATATACATACATGTTTCGGCCTAACCATCGTGGCGTAAAGACGTGTTCGAATATACTCGCAAGAGATCTGTCATTTTTTTAGATATATCTTGGAATTATTTCCAAGAACTATCATCCACTAATTGAAGAATGGCAATTGCCAAATAAGTATAAAATACACTATTTAGGGCCGGTTGTTTCAACTTCTTGGTAAATTAACTGATAGTTAAATCGCATGTCTGTCTTTGTTTTCCCTTCAATTTAAACAAAGACAGATATATGATTTAACTATTAGTTAATTTACCAAGAAGTTGGAACAACTGGTCCTTAAACGGACTAGTGGCATGTGGTTCGGGGGTAACCAGTTGCCATACACAGGATAAGCCATTTTTATATCTCACTTTAAATATCTTTCTTCTTATATCTTTTACAAAAAAATATTTTGTACAAAAGTTGTTTGACCTTAAGAAGAAGACAAGATAGCGATATCAATTTGTTTGTAAATGGCACTGTTCTCGAAACATTTATTAACCCCATTTTTTTAATGGAAACATTTTTCTTTTTAACATAAGTTAACATAGGTTAAATTAACATAGATTTTTTTTTAGAAGAATCCAACCATATGTATTTCTTTGAGTTTTCTTGATTTTTCCACAATTTTTAATTTTGGAATATAAGTGTTTCGCAAACATACATACATACATCGACGCATGTCGAGAAGCACTTATAAAATATAAGGTCTCATTGGATACATTTTCGTAGATTGTTTTCTACTTTCACGCATATATCCTCCTCTTTCCCTCTTTGAAAAAATCTACGTATCTCTGACCAGTAAATTACTAAAATAATATCAAACATTACATTTTCCTAATTCTTAAAGTTGATATTTTAAACTGTGATTCGAATTCTTTTTTCACTATCCGTGTTTTTTCAAAGAAAGTCAATCTCGGATAATGAAAGAACAATTTGAATCATATTTTAAAACATTAACTTCATAAGAATTAAGAAAATATGATGTTTGATATTATTTTTTTAACTCAACTGATTAGATACGTAGATGTTACGGGGAGAGGAATACGCATGAGAGCAGAAAAACGAGAATATATTTAGGGAGACCTCACATCTGTTTTATAAGTACCTTTCGACACGTATATGTGTGTTTATGTGTGTGCTTGCGAAATACTTATATATTCAAGTTAAAAAGTTCTGTAAGCCATAGAAAAATCAAGAAAATTCTAAAATAATACATATGGCTGGACTTGTCTCGACGAGACTTACAATTTTTATTAAAAAGAAGAAATCGGTTTCTGTTTAAGAAAAATGATAATTTCTCGAGAATAGCGCCAACTGTAAACAAATTGATATCGCTGTCTTGTCTTCTCTTTAAGGTCAAACAACTTTTGCACAAAACATTTCTTTGTAAAAGGTATAAGAAAAGGATACTTAAAATGAGGCATTAAAATGGTTCACTTTGCATAATAGCAACAGTATATTATAGATATCTATGATTTTGATAGCGTAAATCTGTATCATACGATTGTATCACACGAATTTTATACTGCAATTCTAAGCAGAATCGTAATTCTCGTAACTTGTTCTCGTAAAATTTGTAAGAATTTATAAGTAGATTTACAATTGTATACAATATCATATGTCGTACAATCACTTGTAAATATCGTAAATTACATGAAATCGTAGATATTTATGAGTAATTGTACGACATATAATATTGCATTGAATTGTAAATCTACTCATAAGTTCATATTTTACGAGAACAAGTTACGAAACTTACGATTCTGTTTAGAATTGCAGCATTAAGTTCGTTTACTTCGAAATTCGAGCCGATGCAACGTGCTGTCGTCCCGCAATTGATGCGCGGCTTTTAATAAAGCCGAATATCTCGACGATGACAACTAAGACAATTGTACACAAACGATATTTTCGCGTAGAAATTGTATTCAGGCATACTTGAGAATTTTGTTTTTCTGCTCACTTGGATTACATCTGCAAGACGAATGCCGAATGACGGAACGCGAATTGTATGGAAATTAAAGTCATCGTCCATACGCCGGTAATTCTCAAGAAATGCAGACGTCGTTCGTATACGTAATGACGTGGCAGTCCGAATGTTCGTATTTCAAGTGCCAATTTCTCCTTCGCGTGTTGATCGAAAAGCGAAGGAAATACGTTGCGATTTGACGCGTGGAGTTGAGTTGGATATTATTACAGGTACAGAATACCACTAGACAGATTGAGACTAAGATTCGAGAATCTCGGGAGTGTCTTTGCCATTGAGAATCTTATATCTTTCCGTCCGCTAGCGTTTCGATTCTCGATATATCGATGTGTTGTATTTCGCAAATCTTCAGCGTAGTAACGAGAGGAAGAAGACGAAGGGGGTCTATTGCATCGACTTCGTAGCGCGCGGCACGTGCGCGACGGCCGAGATATAACTTTAGAAGTGGATCGTCGGATCTCTTTTAGCATCGGGGTTCGCGCGTGGGAAGAATTTATTTTGGTAGCGTCGTCCCCCACGTTTGTCCGCGAAATAAGCTTAAACGGCCCGACTGACAACCTGAGAGAGTGCGCGCGATGTCGATTGCCGAACGCTGCCAGCATATCGTATCGTCACAAGAGAGAACCTGTCTGTGCCAATCAACCTGGCCGCGGCCGTAGCTCAACATCCGGCCGCAACGTGCTTTTCACGTACAGCAACTGCTTGTCTTGCTGAAATCAACACGACTTTTCTCGTATTATAATTTTTCGGCGTCGAGATATCGAAAAGGAGAAATTTATAGCTTTATATAAAGTTAACTATATATAATATAGTTTGAAGTTGAAGTGACATCTCAAATCTTACGATAATTAAATTTCCGTATTGAAAGAGCAAGATTATATATCGAAATCCGCTCAATATATAACGATGACATGCGTTGAGTTTTTTTTTTCAAAGCGCGTCAGTTGAATTACCGTTATCGCTTATCTCGTTTAGATCTATAATAATCCATATTTATCGAAGGCATCATTCATTTCATTTAGGCATCTGGAGTGACAGTCGCGGACGTTTGCAAGACAACGTACGAGGAGATAAAGAAAGACAAAAAGCACCGATATGTGATCTTCTACATCAAAGATGAGAGGCAGATAGACGTTGAAGTCATCGGACCTCGCGATGCGGCTTATGACGCTTTCCTCGAAGATTTGCAGAAGGGCGGTAGCGGGGAGTGCCGCTATGGCCTGTTCGACTTTGAATATACTCATCAGTGTCAGGGTACTTCCGAGGTAAAATATATATTCGATTTTGTTTTTTTACGAGATATTACTTGTTGTATCAAATGTTGAACATATTTCTATCGTGAGAATAGAAAGTAATGTTAAGATTGGGAAACAAATGACCTTGTTTTTTTAATAGGCATCCAAGAAACAGAAACTCTTCTTGATGTCGTGGTGTCCTGACACGGCCAAAGTTAAGAAGAAGATGTTGTATTCGAGTTCTTTCGACGCTCTGAAAAAGTCGCTGGTTGGTGTACAAAAGTACATACAGGCGACGGATCTTTCGGAGGCTTCTGAGGAAGCCGTCGAGGAGAAACTTCGAGCTACCGACAGGAATTAGGAGTATTCCAGCGAATCCAAACTACTATTACGAGATAAGAAAAGGAAAAAAAAACAATTGAAATACAATACGCGGATTAACTTTTCAGACAAGAAAATAATGCTCTATACTGTCGTTGCATCGAGGGTTCATGTTTTTACACATTTTTCACTTTTAAATGAGACCGATTATCAAGTATTTTGCGCTACATATGTTAGTCACCAGAGGAGCGTAAGCATTAGTAAAAGTGAATAGGAATAAAGAGAAAGAAACAAAAAGGATAACAAAGGGAGGAGAACCCTTTTCATACCGCGGACGTTGTGTGAATCTGTCTGATATATAATATTATATTATTATAATTATAAGGTAATTGTACACACAAGAATACAAAACAATTTACTACCAGTCAAATAGTAAAACAGAATTATTACATTTCTTCTCACAGGCTGTATAACGTTTAAATTAAATTCATTTCATTACAAATAAAATTTCTGACAATGTCCTATCAGTGAAACCTGTTCCTGATATTTATATACTTTTTGTGACATATACCCGGTTTCACTAATATCGATTAAATCTTACCCTGAATTAAAATTGTTTTCAGACAAAAATTTAGGTTAAGATTTAATCGATGTTTAAGAACTTTGGAACCGGGCCTTAGCTATAAATGAAAAATTAACTGAAGAATATATGGTAAAGTCAGATTAGAGCTTGAAAAAAGTATTGATGATAACACAGGTTTCAATTTCCATAAGATATATTGGAATAGAATCCTGCATAAAGTCTCTCTAGCTGATGATACTATTTGTTCTTCAAGTGGTAAAAAGAATAGGTTCTTCATATTAAAACTGATTGAAAAATAGTTATGACCTACAAGCATTTTTAAAAACTTTAACGTTATATCTCTGTTTATTTTTATTACACAAATTATTCAGATAAATAGTACTGCAGATACAGTCGTATATTTAATTTTCAATTTGAGATAACAAAATGTTAAAAGATCAAAGCGAAAAAAATGGGAAATAGAAGTTCTATAGCTGGTATTAAAGTACAAATTTCATTTATCAATACCATGCATTTCGGTTATTATTTAGAAAGACAATAGGAATATTCCAATAAATCCAAGCTACTATTACGAGATAAAAAAAAAAACTGAATACAGCTGAATGCCATGAACTGATTGAATACAGTTTCACTTAAACGAAACCATTCAACCATTCTCGACGATTAATCGTTTAAAAAATGACTGTAATATAATATGCTGGTTAAAGGGATGGCGGAGTCGATAACTAATTTTAAAAATATCGATAACGTAGAGATATGATTGTCACTAATGCAATCATGCTATCTTATATATATATATATATATATATATATATATATATATATATATATATATATATAT